GTAATATAAAATATGCTTCGTTTATATGTAATATAAAATATACTTGGTTTATCTAACAACAGAAATATAAAATATGCTTCGTTTATCTGTAATATAAAATATTCTTGGTTTATCTAACAACAGAAATATAAAATATACTTGGTTTATCTGTAATATAAATATGCTTCGTTTATACGTAATATAAAATATGCTTCGTTTATATGTAATATAAAATATACTTGGTTTATCTGTAATATAAAATATACTTGGTTTATCAAACAACAGAAATATAAAATATACTTGGTTTTTCTGTAATATAAAATATACTTGGTTTTTCTGTAATATAAAATATACTTGGTTTATCTGTAATATAAAATATGCTTCGTTTATATGTAATATAAAATATACTTGGTTTATCTGTAATATAAAATATGCTTCGTTTATATGTAATATAAAATATACTTGGTTTATCTAACATCAGAAATATAAAATATGCTTCGTTTATCTGTAATATAAAATATACTTCGTTTGTCTGTAATATAAAATATACTTGGTTTATCTAACAACAGAAATATAAAATATACTTCGTTTGTCTGTAATATAAAATATACTTGGTTTATCTGAAAAGGGCCTTTCTTCCACGTAAGGCACACTTGGTCTTGGGCATCTCCAGGAGACTACCCCACTTACTGCGACAACTCCTAACATTGGACTCGTTGATATTGAATTCACGGCCAGCTGCTCGATTGCCATGAGCCTCAGCAAATGCGATGACGTTCAATTTCTCCTTCGTGGTGTACGCAACGCCATTTCGTATTTTTTTTTCTCTTTTTTGGCTCAAATCGATTTGGGGGGACCAGGGAACGTCAGAAATTCCCTTTCTTTTGATTATTTCAGGTTCACTTGCCCAGATGAACCTGAAGATTAGAGTGTTTAGTTGTTTGATTATATCTGGGGGTGGAGGTATTATTTTCAGTGTGTATTGGGTAAGTCTAACTAGGTATTTAAAGCCATCAGGCGCTCCCTAAAGGAGCTTCGTACTGTGAACAACTAATTAGCTCTCTCTCTAGTCTGGATTGGTGAAATTGGATTAGCGGATTACTGTCAAGTATCAATTAAGTATAACTCAATTAACTTTTGACACCTGCCACTAATTTGTGAGTTCGTTCCTTTTTATTCTTTTCTTTTATCTTTTCTTTGGGCGGCCGACAATTTCTTTGGCGGAAGAAATTCAAGCTGTCCTACAAAGCTTTCACTAGGTTTCGTTTTGTTTCGTTGTTCTCTTTTCATTTTCATACTATCAATTTTTGCACAGTCTGCAAGGCATTCTTGATAGCCATCTCTTATCTGTCTTATTGTATTGTATTTGTACTAATCAAACCTTCAATTTCAGCTAAAATGGCCTCTTCCCAACAAGCCACCAAGGTTAGCTATGCCGATATTGCGAGTCGGCTAGCTGCTACCATGCAACCCAGGGTAGCAAGGCCGGAATACTCCAATATCGTGAAAGTGAAGCCAAGCGGGGGCAAAACTTTCGGTAGCACGAAGTCGAAGGTTATCGGCGACTTCATCCGTAAAGAGTGGAAGTATAGCTCTCTTCCGGAGGTCAAAGTCCTGGCTAACGAATTTGAGTTCCTGGCAGATGCGGTTTATGCTGCCAACCAAACCGCACTATGTGGGATGAAGGTGGACTCCGCCATGTCCACCTTCAACAAGACGGAACGGGTCGTCATTTATGGCGTCCCCTCCGAGTACTCTGAGGGTGAATTGCTGGAGGATCTTAAGCTCCACAATCACGCTGTAGAGGGTTTATACCTCTACAAACCTCGGGAGGGCAAGTCCGTTAGGACTGTCCAACTAACCTTCGCAAGCGGGAAAGTACCTAATCTTCCCCTTCTATATTCTAGGTACCTGTTGTGAAATAGACTAAATGCGGTCTGTAAAGTGTTAACTCTTGACATGAATTATCTCCCTTTTTGGAACTCTTTATGTAAGAAGTTGTCTTCTCTGTACACCCTTGAAATGTGGTGAAGAAAATAAAATTCGAGTTTAGAGTGTGACTTATTTTCGATTTCCTAGTCGAGTGTTAGCTTTTTAACCCAAACATTTGGTCCGACGAGATGGATTCCTAGTGAATCTGATTCATTTGTGAGTAAAGAATATTAACTTTCCAAAATGAGTGCTAAAGACAAAGAAGCGGGATCCAGTGAAAATTCTGCCGGTTCAGTGATAACAGTGAACTTGGTCAAAGCGTGCTTAGTTTATCAAAAGTGAGAAGAGTTCGTGGTGGCCACAGGGCATTTGTAAAGAGAACAATACAATCATCTGACAATTCAATTGATGAATTTTCAAATTCACCGAGAGAAATAGAGATTTTAGAAGGTTTCAAAGCAACATTGAGTGAGAAGAAATCAGTCCTTAGAAATCATGAGGAGAAGATCCTTGAATTCATTGAAAGTGAAGAAGAAATCATGCATGACATTTCTGAGTCAAGTGAATTTTGTGAACTTATAAACAGAACTATTTTTAGAATTGAGTCGTGTCTTAATCCGAAACCTCCACAGATTGTGCCTACGGTAGAACATTCAAATAGTTTACCTGCTCCTGCTATAGACATTATACCTAGACCAAATAATCCTAAATTGACTGCTAAGCTTCCTAAATTGACATTGACTTCTTATAATGGTGATCCTAAATCATGGCAATCATTTTGGGACAGTTTTGATGCTGCAGTGAATAGTAATGACAGTATTTCCAAGGTTGACAAGTTCCATTATTTGAAGGGACTTTTAGAGGGTGCAGCCTCATTGTGTATAGCAGGTCTATCTTTGACTGAACATAACTATGACTCAGCTGTTGAATTATTACTTGAACGTTTTGGTAATAAACAGGTTATGATTTCTAGTTACATGGACGCTTTGATTGATTTGTCTCCAGTTTCTAATTCTAATGATATTAAACGTATTCGGTCTCTTTTTGATTCAATTGAAGTTAGTATAAGGAGTCTTGGTTCTCTAGGTGTAGATTCAAACAGTTATGGTTCTATATTGGGTCGTATAATTTTGAAGAAAGTTCCTGAAGAGTTTAGATTGATTATTAGTAGACAGTGTGATAAAGATAAGTGGAGTATTGATGAGTTGTTGGCTTTGTTAAAAGATGAATTGGAAGCTAGAGAAAGAATCAACCTAATGAATCCTGCGTCCAGTTCTAGTTCAACTTCCAGCCGCCCAAGTTATTCAAGAAAACCAGATTTTAGATATAAACCACAACCAACAACTGCATCAACCCTACATTCCAGTGCCAGTAAGGACACTTACAATTCAAATAGTAGAACTATTTATTGTGTATTTTGTGGACAGAAACATCAATCGGCTGAATGAACAGTTGTGACAGACAAATCTGCTAGAAAAGGAATTCTTCGTCAAAAGGCTAAATGTTTTATTTGCCTTAGATCCGGTCACGTAATGAGAGATTGTCGAGTTGACTACACGTTATAATTGTGGTGCAAGGCATAATAAGGCTATATGTGATGCAAACAGACAACATAATACCAATTCCAAATCAGTGACCAGAAATAGTAGTCCGAAACCCACAACCAATTCTAGTTCCAGTTCAACTATGTGTGTAAATAGTTCTACTTCAGTTCTACTTCAAACAGCTATATGTTAGCAATACTACTGAGTCTAGTCAGAGTTTGAGGTCAAATATTTTGTTTGATAATTGCAGTCAAAGGACTTATATAACTGAGAAGAATAGAAATAAGTTGAGATTAAATTCTATTGGTCAAGAAACCTTATTGATTAAGACTTTTGGTGATGACATTCCAAGGTTGAGAACCTGTGATGTAGTTCAGTTTTCCATTACCTGTTTGGATGGTATGCAGATATATGTTAAAGCCTTTTGTGTTCCTTCTATTTGTAGTCCATTGAGTGACCAGAGTATCCAGGTTGCTGTTAATAGATACCCTCATTTACAGAATATACAGTTAGCCAATCCTTCGGACGTTAAAGATTATGATGTTGATATCCTTATAGGTGCAGACTATTATTGGAATTTCTTTAATGGTTGTATTAGAAGGGGGGAGTCTAGTGGTCCAGTTGCATTATTGTCCAGACAATAGTAGTCTCAGGTCCTGTTGTTGATTATTCCTTGAATAAAGAGACTTCAGTAAATCTTGTTTGAACCCATGTACTTCATATCAACTCAGTTAAAGAATCATGTCCAGAAATTCCATTAAAAGATGAAGTTCATAAATTCTGGGATTTAGAGACTATAGGAATC